GATAAAAAACAATGTGAGCCTATTACGAGCTATGTGAATTGATATCAAAACATATATATTTCCAAACTTTACATCAAATCATATAAATTTAATTCGCAATGAATTCATTGTGAATTAAATTTATATGATTTGATGTAAAGTTTGGAAATATATATGTTTTGACATCAATTTTGAAACAATGAATTCATTGTGAATTAAATTTATATGATTTGATGTAAAGTTTGGAAATATATATGTTTTGACATCAATTCACATAGCTTGTAATAGGCTTACATTGTTTTTTATCTCTAATTTATAAATTAATGTAAAGATGTAGGCATGATACTTTTAGTCTTACAAGGGGAGTGCACGGCCTTCCTCTCACCGATTTTAACGAAAATTTTTTTATGTGTAGTACTTTATTAGAAACAAATTTTGTTAAAGCGAGAGAATGCGCTTCTCAAGTGTTCGTTTAAAAAAAAATGTTAAAGATTTGCCAGCATGTCTTAAGCCGTTACTATTTTTTTTGTGTAATTTATTTTTTTGTTTCTAGGAATATTTTTTAACATTAATAAATAAATATAAAGTTTTTTAATTATTGGCATCTAATTTTTAACATGTTGTTTCATATATTTAAAGAAAATTCGAATGCTTTCTGTCAAAACTATAATATAAAGAAATATTTAATATTATACGAGAAATATATTACTATTAAAATAAGTTATAAAAAAGGCCAACTTAACGAGCTGATTAATTAGGTATTAACAATTTATTCTAAGTCATGAAAATAATACAAATGATAATTAGTAAACGTTTCGACTGTACGTCTTTATCAATACAAATATCGCTTTGCTAACATGTCCATAAATCAAATAATTTAGAAAGACAGAACTTATATCATACATGTAAAATATATAGACTTATAATATGAAAAATGCAGTATAACACATTATAATTGTTGGCGTGAACTACGGCTGATTGTTCAAATTAGTCGTTAAAGCGCCTAACCCCGAAGATCAGATTTCTGTAGTTCTTTTTAAATAAACGTCTAATTTTATAATCCATAATGTAATAATGATGTGTAATGAGCTGTGAAATAATTAATGTATTAGCCTGAATATTGGATATTTGATTTTTAAATAGATAGTGATCACTTACATCTATGTCGAGACGATAAAATTCTTTAAAATATTTCTTATTGAAAAACTATTATAAACAATGTATACTTTGTAAGAAGCAAACTCAATATATGTAAATTACAATGTCAGGACGCTGTATATATACCGCCATGCTAAGATGACATAGACAATTTTTCTAAAATATCAAAATAAGAACAGTCAAGTCGCTCGGTGTCCTTTTTTAAGTTGATACTGTTTTCTTCTTCTTTAATGTATATCATTTCAGATATTAACCCTTTATAATAATTCCTTTCGTGATTCAAGATTTTTGTATTATTCCAATTAAAAGTATGTGTAAACTTTACAATATGATCTCATTTTCTCATTTTCGGCAAGAGTAAATGAACATAAAAATAATATCAGATTGGATCCTGCAAGACACTCGGTGGTTTCTGATCATATTGTAAAGTTTACACATACTTATTAAATTATATTTTCTAAATCGTATATAACATTATCTATATTATCGATTTTTATTAAAATTAAAAAGTTTCGAAAAATAAAAATGGATAATCTTCTTATTGAAATAGGTCATTTTTCAAGTTTTTAAGTAGCTGTACAGTTTCAAATTATATATATATATATATATATATATATATATCTACTCTATATATAAAAAAATTATGTCACGATTTTGTGTTACGATTTTATGTAACGCTTCCTCTCCCGTCCTCTCTCACCCCCTTGCCCTCTTTCGCCCTCTCACGCTCTTTCTCGCCCCTTCTCGTCCTCTCTCGCCCTCTCTCGCTCACCACCTCACCTTTTCTTGCTCCTCTCGTTCTCTCTCGCCCTCTCTGGCCCTTTTTTGCCCTCTCCCGCCCCCTCTCGCCCTCTCGCCCTCTCTCGCCCTTCCTCGTTCCCTCTAAACTAAATGAACCCAGAGCATTCCCGGGGAGTACTTCTAATAAATATTTGCAGAATAATAAAGATTTGATTGTTACCAAAGCTGATAAAGGACAAGTTACAGTAGTTATGAATAGAAATGACTACGTGACTAATATGGAATTATTGTTAAATGATTCGATGACATACAAAAAATTAAATAAAAATCCGATTAAACGTCTGACGAATAAACTTCACACGTTAGTAAAGTCATGGCATAATAATGAGATCATTGATGATCAAACATATAAATTTTTTAATTGCACGAATGGTAATTTACCACGGTGTTATGGACTCCCAAAGATCCATAAGAACGGTTATCCATTGAGAATCATTGTGTCATCGTTGGGCAGTCCCTTTTATAATATTGCCGGTTACATTTATGATATATTAGTTAAATCTGTTAAGAAACCGGATTCAAATATTAAAGATGGTTGGACGTTTGTGAATATTATTAAAAATACAAGGGTTAATGACGATGACGTAATGATTTCCTTGGATGTTTGTTCGTTGTTTACGAATATTCCAAAAGATTTAGTTTTTTCTGCAATTGAAAATCGTTGGAGTGACATAAGTTTAAGAACTAAATTTAATTTGCAACAGTTTCTATACGCTATTGATATAATACTTACTTCAACTAGTTTTCAATTTAATGAGCAGTACTATGAACAGATTTATGGAAGCCCTATGGGATCTCCTCTATCACCGATATTAGCTAACTTACAAGGGAAGTTCGGCAAGTGTAAAATTTAAAAAAATCTGAAACTTTGTATAAGTTTAGAGTAGATGAACCTAATCACAAAACAATTTTTTTAGCTGCTGATATTCGGTTTTAGGGGTGCAGCATCCCCTTAAATAAAATCGGTGTTTACGTTTTCAAGCGAATATCGCCGAAATAATGAGAAATATAAAAAAATGTTTCCAGCAAAAGTTTTATGGTTTCGAAAGCTCTTTATAATGACATGATCATATTTTGCAAAAATGTTTAATTTTTCAAAATACCCCCACCACGTATCTTTTTTTTTCATATTTAAATTTTTCTTGCAACTAAAATTAAAGTTTATTTCACGCCAAATTAGAGACCAATTCTTCTATTAATTTTTTAAATTCCACAGTTATCCGCAATGGGAATGAATTGACAACTAATTGATTTAGGAAACCTACATGTTCTGGCAGATACATCAATTTTCTTTCGAGTCGTCTTATTAAGTATAAAATTAATACGATTTATAATTTAGTAGACCATGCAATTTTACTTTCAAACGAACAATTTCATAATACGAATATTGAGATTGTAAAGAACATTTTAATTAATAATTGCTTTCTGGATCGTATTATTAATAAATATGTAAATAAAAGAATTAATGTACTAAATAATATTAGGAATGTTAACCGTTATGATGCGGATAATAACGATAATTTGAATAATGATTTGGATAATAACGACAATGGGAATTCGACTCAAGATAAGAATTATGTGATTCCACTTCCATATGTTAAAGACGTTAGCGACAGTATTAAAAGGTCACTTAAAAATGCTAACTTAAATGTCGTTTATAGTTTGCCAAAAAAGTTGAATAGGCTGATAAAACAAGGTAAAGATTTAATAATTTATGATATAAAAACGAATGCAGTATAAAAGATTAATTGTGAAAATTGTAATGCCTCATACATTGGACAAACGAAAAGACATTTATGCACTAGAGTGAAGGAATATGCTAGCAATATTAAATTACATGAGTCTACACATTCGGTTTTGAGTAAACACAGATGTGATTTGGACATGACTTTAATTGGAAATCACCGATCATTTTACATAATGAGAAACATGTAAGAAAGAAAGAGATTGCTGAAATGTTTTTCATAAAGAAGCATGATAATACTGTTGATCTACAGAAAGACACTGAGAATTTGACAAATATTTACGACAAAATAATAAAGATTGTTTAGTGGTGCGTTTCAAAATTTAGTCGTTGACGAAACATAGCAATGGGACGTGTTTCTCTTTTAACTATTAATTTTAAATAAGATCGGTTTTATGTTGCGTTAATCTCATTTTAATTGATGGGTATGTTTGTGTTTGTGGTCATAACTTAACATTTAAATATGTCCTTGTATGTTTCAACATTGTTAAAAACTATTGTGTAATATTGTGTTATAGAATTCTCACTTGATAAGGACCACAACCAAATGGTAGAAACGTCGTAAAAGTATTGAATAAAATTGCTAGTTACGTCGAAATCAATTTTGCCAAGTTTAATATAATAAAATTACAGATTTAAATGTGAAAACAAATAACATAAAAATAAAAATTTTTTAGGAAAAAATTCCTTATTAAGTAAGATCCCTTAAATTTTAAATAAATTAATCAATGGCGTAGGAATCTGAGTGCAGATGGTAAATATATATTTTATTAGTTAGTAATCACTTTATTTTATTAGTTAGTAATCACGAACGTTTTGACCGATTTTTTGGTCATCTTCAGCGTGTAAATCTACAAACATTTTAACATGACAATTCAATAGAGAAAAATCTCAACATAATTTTCGGTGTATAAATACAATAAGAAAAGTCATCGGACTTAAAACTATTCTTTGCGTCTTATGATAAAATTAAATCGTAATTTAACATACATATAAAAAAATAATATATAATTTAAAATAATGGTGAATTCTTGAATAAATTAAGTCACGCATTATAGTAACAGTCAAGAACGTAAAAAATTTTTGTGAATCTATGTACATCAAAACAAGAAAATTGTATTAGTTATTATCATAAAAAAACGTAACGGTTTATAAAAAATTTACATGTTCGTTGCCGACCTGACATTACAATTTATAAACAACTAAACTAGTCTATACAAATGTTTTGTGCGCAATGAGAAAACGAATAAAATAAAATTATTATTTAAAAATGTTTTACTTCAAATAACAAATAACAAATATATTTTCTACATTCCAGATTCCAGACTATTTACAGAAGGAATAAGTCAGTCTGCGGCTTCTCATACATCGATCATTAATCAATCAGGTTGATATTCTACGATAAATGCGTTGATAATTTGAACATTTACAAAATATTAGTTTAAACTACTGTTTCGTTTCGTTTTTTAGGTTCTCGATCAACATCGTTGTCTGCAAACATACCAGTTGAATCAACTCAATCATCAGTCACAGGTTTATGTTACTTATTTAAGAGATTTTTATGAGACATCAAAGAACAATGTTTATCCCAATTTTTTGCCCCGGGGAAATTGATAAAACCTATTCCATACATTTTCCACACATAAATATAAATTAGAAATGCACCTAAGATCGCGGAGAACTCTGGGGAAAACTTTTGGCAAACTGTATGACTTTCTAAATAGGTGTTAAAACGAAATACTTTTCAGTTTTTAACGTTGATTGAAATATAATGAACTAAGTCGTAGTTATACTATGAAAGTTCTAACTCGAGTCCTCTAAGGGGGGTGCGGGGCGGGGGGGTTTTCGGGGGCGCGGGGGTATGACGTTACGCTGGCGGGGGGTCTTATCAGCAGATAAGCTTATCTTATCAGCTCAGGTTACCAGATAAGGGGCGATTATCGGATCATGTTACCTGATATGTTTATAAACAAAAAATAAACATATATCTATTACAGTGATATCTATTACAAGATAAGATAAGCGGCATTTTTGTAAGATACCTATTACATAAACAAGATAAGATAAACAAATATCTAATACAATGGTATCTATTACAAGATATCTATTGCATAAATAAGATAAGATAAACAAATATCTATTATCCTCGGTGAACGTGTCGAGACATGTTTTTGCGGCGGAGGGGGTAAAAAGTGCCTCCCATAAGCGGCGGTTCTTCATTGTTTATTTTAGGAAGAAATACCAGCGCCGAAACCAGCGGCTGCAGGAATTTATAAACAAAACAAGCGCCGAAAATCTACGGCTGCCAATCAGATATCAATTACTATGTTATCTATTTCTGAGAATTATCCCCGGAGAGAAATCAATCATCAAACAAAAGCTGTGAAATCTTCTACCGTTCCTTTGGCAAGCGCCGAAAATCTGCGGCTGCTAATCAGATATCAATTACTACGTTATCGAAATTTTTCCTAGAAAAAATTCCTACGAATTATCACCGGGGAGAAATCAATCGGGGAAGTTAAACAATCGTTTGTACGTTGACAAACAAAGAGTTGAACGGGATATATAATGAGGACCCTGATACTGCCGGGTCAAATCAAAGTACGGTGACCACGAGAGCGCATGCTTTCCTCAAGAAAAAATAGCTGGGAGAAAAAGTTTAGTATGTAATCAAAGTAGTTATTTCTGTGTAGTACAAGTGAATTTTTTACAAAAAAATGGAGAACGCGGAAAATGTTAAGCGCGAGCTGTTGGAGAGTTCCCGCCAAGTCGCCACCTTAGGCGAATATTTCGGATGGCTGCAAGAGTGTGAAGAGTTTATCGAAGAGCTGGAAGAACGCAGCCGTGTCAAGCGTCCGCGACTCTCGATTGGACATAGGCAATCTCTGGTAGCTAGAATAGCGCGAGTCGAGGGTGTAAAGAATCGCTTGCAGAAACGATATATGTATATTGGCGGCGGCGGTAAATACAGTGGCGGCGGCAATAACGCGCAAAGACTTGTTTGGCGCGAGATCGATACGGCGTTCGATAACCGTATACTGACCGGCGCGGTAATTAACACAAATTATATCGAACCGCGTCAATTTTTGGAAAATGCCGCAAACATTGTAGTCGAGAACGTGGAAAATGTGCTGCAGAGACACATCAGTGTGAAGGTGAACACTGTTTTCAACGGCGAGTTTGTATCTGGTGATAAACGCGCCAATAAAAGTATCAACACGAGAAACTTTGAACTCTGTCGCACGTTTGATGTACGCGAGTATGAGCACCGCGTTATCGAGCCCACGCTAGCATTGCTAGAAGAGTTCCAGGAACGCGATAGCGGCTGGGCATTGTCGTGGATAATAGATTTAACTGTGAATATCAACAAGTACAATCCAATGCGCGCGGCATGTCATGTCAAATTACCGCAAAAAATTGTGACAAAGAGAGAGGTGGTTAATGTGCGATTAGCGGACAATGCGTGTTTCGCATGGTCAGTGGCCGCTCTGTACCCCGCTGAAAGAAATGTGGAACGAGAATCCTCCTATTCGCATTACACCACAGTGCTGAATCTCCAAAACATTGAGTTTCCAGTGATTGTGATCCAAATTAAAAACTTTGAACTGACAAACGACATCTCCATAAATGTGTACATCATCGAGAACGAGAACATCATCTCGCTACGTCTTTCGGAAAAAAAGAAAGACAGACACATTAATCTGCTGTACGTGGAGGACGAACACAGAGTGGGGCATTTCGCGTGCATAAGGAATCTGTCTCGCCTCGTGAGCTCGCAACTGAGCAAACACAATGGTCAAAAATATATATGCGATTGGTAAGTATATTTATTTATTGTACGTAAATTATATTAATAATAACAAAATTTAAAGAAGGTAAATATTGTAGGCCAACTAAACGAGCAATTAAATAAGATCTAAAGATTTATTAATAATCAAATAATTAAATTTTCATTCCGTTAGAGAAACAATATACAGCGTAAACGTTTCGACTGCACTACAGTCTTTTTCAATACGTAAAAATCAAATATTAAAATACAAAGTTAAATATTAAAATACAAAGTTGGTTAAACATTAAAATACAAAGTTAAACGATTCTTCGCTGATGACCAATAGATGAGTAAGCCGATTGGTCTGAGATTCCAAGTTTTGCGACATTTAATCATGATTATCGTTTTAACAAGTTCTTCTTCTCGACATTTCAAGTGTGTGTTGCGAAGTCTAAATAACAAAATGATATATTAATAATAATTTTAATTAAATTTCTTATTTTTACAGATGCCTACACTATTTCTTTTCGGAGGATAAATTGCAGGCGCATATGGTAGACTGCGGAAAATTGAACAACTGCGCTATCCGGTTGCCGAGCGACAAGGACAAGTGGCTCAGCTTCGACAACTACACGAGGAAGGAGCAGCTTTTGTTTGTGATGTACGCCGACCTCGAGTGTGTTTTAACATAGACTGAAGATGCCAAAAATTATCAACACCACCAAGTATTCAGCATCGCTTATTACGTACAGTGTTCGTTTGACAATTCGTTATCCGCGTATAATTCTCGCCGTAGTGTCGATTGCGTTGCGTGATTCGCCGAACAGCTTAAAAATTTACCAATACGCGTAAAAAATATTTTGACAACCAACGTCCCCATGGTAAATTTAACGCTTGACGAGTGGTTAAAATTTCGCAGCGCGACGCATTGTCATATATGCAAACGTCCGTTTGACGAAGACAATTCACGCATCCACGATTATTGCCATCTCACCGGGCGGTACAGGAGTCACGCGCATTCAAATTTTAACTTAAATTACAAAGAATCTTTTTGTATTCCTATAGTCTTTAACAATCTGTCCCGCTACGACGCGCATTTCATTATAGAGGACATAGCCACAGCGTTCAAAGAGGAAATCGAATTACTGCCGATAACGAAAGAAAAATATATATCATTCTTGAAAACTGTTAGATTGACGCAAAACAATAATGCAAAAAATTATATTAAATTACGCTTTATCGATTCGTATTTTTTCAGTGCTAGTCTTGACAAATTAGCGTCATTTTTGGATAAAGATAAACTAAAAATTTTACATTCAGAATATCAAAATTTATGGACAGATACGTTTAATTTATTGACACGGAAGGGCGTTTTTCCGTATGAATACATAGACTGCGTGGACAGATTACAAGACACATGTTTACCGTCGCGCGACTCATTTTACAGCTCCCTGACCGGCGACACAGTATCCGAGAGTGATTACGCACACGCCGAGACCGTCTGGAGCCGATTCTCCCTTCGAACGCTAGGCGAATATAGTGATTTATATTTAAAAATTGATGTCTTGTTATTGGCCGATATATTTGAAAATTTTCGCGACAGTTGTATAAAAAGTTATGGACTCGATCCCGCGTATTATTATACTCTTCCCGGATATACATGAAATGCCATGTTAAAATATACAAATATAAAATTTGAATTATTAACAAACATTGATTATTAACAGATATGGTTATTCGAACGAGGTATACGCGGCGGCCTTAGTCAATGTTCAGGTCGATACGCACAGGCTAATAACAAGTACATGCAATCGTACGACTCATCGAAACCCTTATTTTACCTTATGTACTTTGATGTAAATAATTTGTACGGATGGGCAATGTGTCAGCCATTGCCGTATGCCGATTTTCAATGAATTAATGATGTATCGAATTTTGATATATCATCTATTGCGCTCGATTCGCTTATAGGCTATGTTCTCGAAGTAGATTTAGAGTATCCGCAGCATCTTCATGACGCGCACATTGACCTACCGTTTTGCCCGACACGCGACAAGCCGCCCGGCAAGCGGGAGTATAAACTCCTCGCCACGCTTTACGATAAGAAGCGTTGCGTAATACACTATCGTAATCTACAACAGTGCACACGCCACGGGCTACGCATAACAAAAATATACCGCATACGACAATTTACTCAGTCCGCGTGGCTTAGAAATTATATTAAACTTAATACACAGTTTAGAACCGAAACAAAAACTAATTTTGAAAAAAATTTATATAAATTAATAAATAATGCGGTATTTGGCAAGACAATGGAAAATGTGCGCAATTATGTGGATGTAAAATTATTAACAAAATGGGACGGACGGTACGGTGCGGAGGCAATGATCGCGAAACCAAATTTTTATAGTACAAGCATATTTTCGGAAAAATTAGTTGCCATAGAATTACGCAAACTCGAAGTTAAATTCTACAAACCAATCTACGTCGGCATGTGTATACTCGACATATCAAAAGTATGTCTTTATGAATTTCACCACGAATACATGTCACCGCTCTATCGTGACAATTGTAGAGTAATGTACACCGACACGGACAGTTTAATATATCAAATTAAATGCCAGGATATCTATGAAAATTTGAAGCGCGATATCGCTCAATTTAATATCAGCGATTATGCTGTGGACAATGCGTACGGTATACCGCTTGAGAATAAAAAAGTACTGGGTCTGATGAAAGATGTCTTTCTCATATGAGAATAACGGCGTATTAATGACCGAATTCGTCGGGCTTAGAGCAAAAATATATGCT